TTTACGTTAATACACATTGTGCTCGCTATTACACTACAACTTTGTTCTCCGTTTATCTTTGTTTGCATACAAGCCAATATGCTTTGTTTATTGGTTCAAATGTGTAAGCTTGCTAGGATAGTTGATGATTGATAGTACATATATTCTGATACATGCCACGAGTGACAGCTTTAACAACATTTTTTTTTTATACATTCTGAATTTTTTTGAAAATCATATTATTCAAAAATCACAGAAAATGTTTAATATTATTTAAGTTTAACATCGATAGTGACGTACCTGTTGTCTGTTCCGTCAATCTAATCTCTTGTATTATGATGCTTTGTTTCTAGAAGAGAAGCTAGAAGTTGCATTTCTGATTTTCTTTAATTGTACTTGATTGGAAGTGTGATCGTCTCTTGTTAGAATATGAATATGAAATTATGCTGTCAGAATTTAGAACTGATAGCCCATGTTAGTTTCAGAGGCTCACCGATGATTGAATTTCCTGTAGTCATGGACATCAGTAATCTATTACTTTGTCTTGCTGTAAGTTTTTAGTTGAAAATTATTTAAATAAAATACTTTGTCTGGACCAACCTAAGTACTTAGTTTTGTTCTTATTTGGTATATTTAGAGCTGTTTTCCTCCTGAAGATGATTTTTGCTTCTCGGTGTGGATCTAAGTTAAATTTTGTGCTGCAAGTGTAATCATTATTCATTTAAAAATAACCCTCCATTATGTTCACGACTTTTGACTTCATTATACTCTGCATTTTGCTTTCTTATTGGATTATATGATGCAGTGATGTCTTCATTCTTCCCCTATTTTTTTCATTCAAATGAGTTTTCACTATTCGCTAAGGAGACGAGATAATCTACTTCTATTTCTCTATATCGCCCAGATATAACATTTCAGATAAATTTTTACCTCTCACATGCCATTAGGTTAAATCACATTTGTCCATCCTTATATTCCCAACAAGTAAACTAAACCACATTTGTCTATTCTTATACTCCCAACAAGTAAAATAAACAATTTAATCACTTTTCAACACAAGCCAGTTATTTGGCCTCATAATCATGCCATTTTAACCAATCAAAAGTAAATCAAATATTAAAATTACAATCATCCAAATTGTATAAAAAATAAAAATAGTTTGAAAGGCATGATTACATTTATATATTCATATAATTGTAAATAAATAAAAAGTCCTAATATTAGCAATATAACACATTATAAATCATAAATCAAATACCCAAAAGAGACAGTGGATCTATGCCACTAAGCCTCTGGGACTCCTCCACGTGTCACTCTTGACTCTTCTCCTAAAAATTATTAACCACATAATGAGACTTAAAAGTCCCAGTAACCAAAGCCAATTTATAATAGTATATACAAACAGTTAAGTGTGTGCTTATTAAGTGAGAATTAAAAATAATATAATTCCAACAAATATAAGAAATATTACAATACACACAAATAACTATCCTTATATCCCTCCATTAACCTCGAGCCGTAGCCCTCACTCGGTGTTAAATTACCCAGCTAAAGGTAGATTAGCCCGAACCCTTACAAGCCACCTATTGAGCTCTAATAAGGGCGTACCACGTGGTACATAAAATACAACAACAATAGCAAGTCTCCCAACACCTCCCACAATAATCAAACAAATTCATAATAATATTGCACAATTATATAATATTACAAAATTTATAATTTTCTCAATAATCACTTAATTAACATGAAGTAACACTAATCACAAATTAAAAACATGGTTACCTTGTGGCTTTTTCAATAAATTATTCCTTACAATTTCTCTCCCACCACAATTTTCACCAATAATACAATCTACAAATAACATATTATTTATAAATATTAGTTTTAATTTTTGAAACTAATAAAATAATTCTAATAATAGAATTAAAAATATAACATAATTCCTAATCTCAATCTTAATACAAATCTAGAGTTAATACTATTAAGTAAAATTTTTAACTCCTCTTTTAATTATCAATAAAAATTAATAATCTAAAAATCAACTTCTAAACTAATTTCTATTATCAAAATTTTTTTATTTCATAAATTCGCACCGAAAATATCCAAAAATTAAAAATTGAGTCTCTAGCTTAGAATCGTAATTCTATAACCATAATAATTCATTTCTCATCCCAAATAATTATCTAAACCTCAATAAATCAACATATATTTTCAGATAAAAAAATCTAGTCTATGATTTGATTCATAAGCCATAAATTCAAAGATCATCAATAAATTTATACTCTAGAACATTTATTATACTACTAACAACCTCAAAAACTATATTTATTCAACATAAATTCATCCCTCTTTCAAATCTTAAATTTTTCACCATCACAAAATCAGAAACTAAAGGAGCTAGATGAATAAGAAAAATTTTTAAAATACTTATTTAATTTAAAAAAGCTTAAAATCTCACCCTAATTATCCTATTAGGAAGTCTCACCTTTAAAACTTAAACACGCTGCGTCGATGAACTTGCTCACAGTCGCTTGCTCTGTTTGTGCACGAAAGAGAAGTGAGAAGAGAAGGAAAATGAAAGGGAAGAGGACATTTGTTGTTTTTTTTAAAAAACATGTGGGTCTCACATTTCCTTTTTGCTTTCCTTTCCTTCTTTTTATATATCTATGTACATCGCACTAACACCAAAAGCTCCATTCCTCCTCCTCTTTTTTTTATTATTATTATTTTATATGTATGATCATTGCATGCGAACGCACCGAAAGCTAATCTCTTTTTCTTCTTTCTTTCCTTCCTCTTTCTCATACCTTTTCTTATTTTTTTAATAATAATAATAATAATTTAATTAATTTTTTAATTAATTAATTATATATTTTTTTATTTTAGAATTATATCCTAAGTTAGATTTAATAATCATCTCTTACTAATTTTCTTACCTCTAAATATTTTTTTTAAATTTCTATTAACCCAAATTAACTATTAAAATTTAAATTGAGATGTTACAAATAGAGGAGGATTGTTGAGGTTAATATTGAACCAACCCTCCTTTGTTTAAGGATACTCATGTGGTTGACAGGGCATTTTTCCTCAAATTGTAGTTTCAATATTTCCAAAATGAGGATCATTAATAATTATTTATGCCTTCCTTACGGATTACTCATGTCGCACAAAGGGTCCTACCTCGTTTCCCCAAATAATTATCATAATGATGCATCCAATTATAAGTTAAAATCAGTGTTGTGTTAATTTGTACTAATCTTTAGTAGTCAACCTTGCAATTTTATTCAAGCTAGGGGAAATTGCAATTTTGACCTACATCATTGCTCGTAGTCATCAACAAAAAGTTGCTTAAACGTCCTAGGATTATATATATTTGAAAAAATTGCTTAAAAAGACTTGACCAATATATTCTTTGCTGAAAAGAACTCAGGACATTAGGTCCTTGGCTGTCAATAACTTCAGGGGGTAAATGACTTAAATGCCCTTAGTGGTAAAAAAAACATAGAGAAAGTTGAGTAAGGACATTTGATATTAATAAGCAAGGACATTCGATATTAATATGTCACATAAGATCTTTTGGTGACACTTTATTGAGCACTAAAGTACTAGATCATTTAGTGTCAATATATTAAATAAGATCTTTCAGTGTTAATATGTCACATAAAATCCTTTAACGTCAATATATTTGCAACTAATGTGTGCTTACGAAAATTTTTTGCATATAAGAGAAGAGCCTTGCATATGACAAGAGAAACATTATATAATGTGAAAGAAATCTGCATATGCATAAAAGTATTGCATTTCATGGGAGAGTATTACATATCATGGAAGAAATCTGTATTTGTAAAAAAGTGTTGCATATGATGGTAGAAACGTTGTATATTATGGAAGAAATATGCATATATGAGGGAGTGTTGCATGTGATGGGAAAGTGTTATATATTTGGGAGAGTGGTTGTATATAACAGAAGAAACAATTCATATCGTAGAAGAAATTCACATCTACCGAATAATATTGCATATGCAGAAGATTGTTTGTATATCATAAAAGAAATTTGCATATGTTAAAAAGTCTTGCATATAATGGAAAAAATCTTGCATAACATAGAAACTTATTGCATATAAATGAAAATGAATCATAGCCTTGGTTTCTTTACTTTTCATAAAAATACAAATGAATATCTTAAAAAATTTCTCAATTTTCATTAAAAAAATAGATATCTTGAAAATTTTCTCAATTTTTATAAAAGTATCAATGGATATTTTGAAAAAATATAGACAAAAAGAAATTATAGTCCTTGTTTCTTTGATTTTCATAAAATGTAAATGGATATTTTGAAATTTTTTTCATTTTTCATAAAATCAATAAAGAATATTTTGAAAACACAAATGAATATTTTAAAAATTTTATCATTTTTCACGAAAACACTGATAAATATTCTAAAACACTAATGAATATTTTCAATTGTCACTATTGCATTGTTATATGTAAACTTTAATCACACTAACTTAAAGCATGAAAAACAATTGAATATTAATCAATTCATTTATCATTAAATAATAACATGTTTTTACATTCCTTGACAGTATAAACTATATTGCATTACAAGATATTACATCCCTTGTTACTTTTATATGTTTTGTTCGATACTTCAACATAACATTCATAAATTACACCAATTTTCTATATATATATATATATATATATTTATTAGTATTTGACAATAGATTGCAAGTATTTCAATTCAAGCTCCTTCAACCAATTGTTAATGTAGACTTAGCTTTATCATAAATGCTTCATTTCATATGTTCAACCTTTCTTTCTTGTTTGTCAAATAATATATTGAAGAGATGCAAAAATGCTTTCTTGACCACAACTTAAAATCAACACAATAGTTGTTAGATTATAAAAGATAATAAAACAAAGGAGCTCAAGGTTTTTGTAACTATAACAGTACCAAAATGCCCGCTTTCGAGATAACACATGTTCTTTTAACCAAAAAACTTAACAAGGGTAGCAAGAAAATTCAATTCTCTTTATCCACCACTACCTCAATATCAACTAGAAGAACCCTAAAATCATCACAAGAGTAACACATAGCCCAAGAAAATTAGAGTGACGTAGCCAAACATGACAAGAAAAGTGTGTGAAGGTAATAAAAAATACCAGCCTATCAACAATTTGAAATATGTGATTGCCCTGGGTACTTTGGAACAATTGCCCGTGGATCATGTACATAGCCTTTGAATGTGTTCTGGCAAATGGAGATCATATCTTGAATAAGGTGTGTATGAATCCACATACTTTCAACCATATTACGAAGAACTCTGACAAGCCTTAATGCCTTGGCTATTATCTCAAAAAATAGCTTCTCTACTAGTTCCTGAGCCGGACCTAAATTACAAGTGTTGTGAGCTTCTGTTCATAAAAAATACAAAACAATCATAACAGTTTACTGGTTTCAATAATCAAAACAAAGTCGACGGGTTTGACAATTTAGCAACTCAAATATTTAGCAACAAAACAAAGCAAGCTGAAAATGGAAATTTCCTCTTAAAAGAGTTCGTGAAAGATGACCCAAATGCATGTATACTTTCATAATGAAAATAAGATTGGACTGTAGGGAACTTTCATGTTCAAGTCAACGTTATCCAATCAAACATCCTTCCAATTGAAGAGCAGAGTTCAAGCTCCAACACTGGCCTACAATACATATCCAAAGGTTTATTTGTGATTTGTGAGTGTAATTATCAGGTTTAAGCATCAAAATAAAGCAAAGCACATTTCTCACTGAATTTAAATAAATCAATATGCAATAAGTTGTCATACCCACAGGATCTGAAGAATCAACAATGATAGCATCATACTTCCCATCTTAAGCTCGTCGAAGAAAATCAACAGCTACCAAAATTCAATCAATGTGAATAATACAATTCAGAAAACAAGAATTGAAAACTCAACCAAAAAAAAAAAAAAGGCAGGTCAGCAAACAAAGACCAAATCAGATGGTACAAAACGGCCAATATGTTAACTTGGTGGCGATGGCACCAATCTCATTAGTCTTCCTCAACCCAAGACCTCTTATCATTCTGCATTCATTGAGGGAAACAACAAAGATGATAACTTCCCCACCAGTATCATCTCTCAAGGACGAACTGAGAAGAAAAGGAAAGACTGAGAAGGATTTAAGGGTAGGGTTGCAAGAAGAATTTAGAAAAAGAAGAAAGCAAGGAAGAATAAGATGCAGCTTGAAATGAACAGTCATGCGTAAGGTCACAGGCAATGGCAAAGGAGGAGGTCACGAGGACGACGGCAGAGAAAGAGGAGCTGCGTGTAATATCAACACTGTACGAGCATTTTTGATAATCTATCAATCTTTATTCTTCTAGAGAATCTCGGTCCTTCGACTTATGAGCAAATTTTCTTATATATTATTATATAAATAATGATTCATTTGTCAAATTTTGAACAATGTACATACACTAGACTAACATCATATTAAGATATGACGCAGATCAACTTGGTATTTAAACTGACATAATTTTTGTACTTTTTGGTGGGGGATAAGGGGGTCACAAGAAATTCCTGTGAAGTTGACTTAAATAGAAGTCAAAGGTTAAAAAAAAGAAAAAAACCGAATCAGTACAGTGGACGCTGGCACTGTAGGCAATGAAATTTTAAACGAGGCCACTTAATTTAGGCTGACAAAATATTACAGTAATTATTTTCACTAGCCAAAAAAAAAAAAATACAACTCAGATTAGCAACTGTAATTTAAATTCCATTCTGTGCACTGGCGATGTCACCACATAAGTAAGTGAGCATTAATTCAATTCATCTGATTTCAGCTAGCTGCGGAGCCAATAGAATTGGCCGGAGGAAGTTCAAAAAGAATACCGGAAACCTTCGTACTGTCCTGTTCCCTCAATAACTCTGCCTCCGCCGTAACAATGTCAGACAAACATCAATCACCTTGTAGACAGTAAAGTTGACGAATGTTTCCTGAAGCTGCCGCCACGACAGGAGGAAAAATTTATAGTCATAAACTAAAATGCCAGTGATTATCCAGGCAAAGGAGACTATACAAATCAGAAAACCTAAGAGTTTACTATGACCAAGACCTCAAAGAACAAACATACAAATTATGGCAGTTGAAATTGAGCTATTTTCTGAAGCATAGTCACAGAATAAAAGGAACAAATGCAATATAATTAAATAAAAGAATCTACCTTGACTCAGAATAAAAGGCCAAGAACAAGATTACTAAGGCTATGTTTGGATAAAATCTTAACAGAGATTTGGGCTAGCCAAACCTTAGTTAGGATGTTAAAAGCTCTTTGAAAAGAAAAAAATCATGTTTGGATAGAAAAAATTTCTAATGGACTTATGGACCAAACGTGGCGTTGGTTGCGAAGCCACTTTTTCTGGCTTCTAGCGTTGGGCTTTTACGATCAGTGGGAATATTGAATATTTAAATAACAATTATTTTTTTGTTACCCTTTTTCTCTCCTCCATGTGGTGCTTGCACAAACTAGACTTAAACACGTGCATAAGGATCAATAATTTATCTTTTCATGGTCTTTTAGGTTCTCAACTCAGGATAAAAGAAAAAACAAGAAGAAAAATACATATGAAAAACTTTTTAATTTACAGCTGGAGAAAAATACATAGGAGAATATTAATATTAAATTATGTATTCTTAATTTAAATTTAAAGTTTGCGAAAAACACATAATAAAAATTCAATTGTATTATTTTAATTTAATAATATTCAAATTTTACTAATTTTATATTCAATGCATTTTATATTTGTAATTACTTTTTTTAAAATTTTTATTTTAAGTTTAATATTTTTTCTTAAAAATATTAAATTTGTTACAAAAATATATACAAGAAAGTTTATATTCATTTTTGTCATTATATATCTTAACTGACTTTTAAATTAAATCATCCAAACAAATTTTAGTTTGTTAAACTGAATTCTTAGCAAAAGATATCCAAACATAAATCACGTTAAAGTCACAGATTTTTTTCTTAACTTCAGTTTGCTAACCTCAGTTGATTCTAACCTTAGTTATAAATTTTTTTAATCCAAACACACACTAAATGAAGGAATCATCCTCAACCAGCCAGTTTGGCATCAAAAAGGTCCAGGTTTGGAAGGCATTTATCAACCGTATCGTTCCAATAAGAAAACACGGGATTTTTCCTTGTCGATGCAAAAGCTAGACATGCTTTGAATTAAACTAAATAAGCAGGAGTAATCATTACCGTATAACCAGTCCTTGAAGTATACATGAAGTGCAGATGACAATTCCCGTTTTCGACTTTCTTCCAAGGGCGCTTCCCGCAAGAGTTGTTTTATCTCCTCCAAATTCTTTTGCTGAAACGAAGATAATTTTAATCAACTCGCTATTTATTTAATTGAAATCAAATCATTCACTGAAATGCAGGCCCTACTTATTTTTTTATTTTATTTATTTATTTTTGAGTTTGAACACTACAAATTTGGAAATCCAACCACCAAGAAATTCCAAATAGCCCCGTTGACATACATTTCTATGCTGTGATGCAATGTAGGCCTCTGGTAGTTTGAATGGATTGTCGTTTGTAGATCCAGTATGTTCGCCCCCAAGCCAGTTCGGGATCTGCACGCCAAACAATGGGGAGGAAAAGTATGTGAATAGTAGCAAACAAACACGGTTATGAAATAGAGCATAAAAAGAAAAAAACATTAAAAAGGAAATAAAAAGGCGCTACTTTAAGGTTAGACAAGTGAAATCATACATGGGGGAAAATATGAAGCATATCATAATTTTTCCTTTACTTCTTGCACTAAACACTTCAATTTGGTCTTCACATGTTTCCATACAGATAGAGTCATCGAAATGGCAACAATAGCACCTAGCATCCATTGCATAGAAGAATGTTCCATTTTATTTGTTTAAAAACAGCATTGCATGATGGATGCTCTCTCAGCTTCTAATGAACTAGACAATCTATGCAAATAACCTGATCTATTTTAATTTAAAGGTTGTGTTTGTTACGTGGGATGGAGAGAGATGGGCAGCTAAGAAGGATAGCTTAGACGGTAATTGCATTTCTAAGTCATATAAAATAAACTGTGACTTAACTCATCTTTGCTTTGAGGGATTAAATTAAAATTTTTAAAACCTGAGCAAAAAATACAAAAACTTAAAGGCTAATTTAACCTAAAATAAAAATCTTACTGTAAGTCAGGTTAAAGTCGTACCATAAAATTTGTGAATTGATCAGGATCCACCCGTACAGCAGACCCAGCTTGGACATCAGAGACACCCGCCGGATGAGATAATGAATCATGAGGATCGACCATGCCCAATGCTAGAGGTTCGTCCCATCTGTTTACTGTGGGTACAATCCCAACTTCAGTCATGTGCTCCTCCAGCTGGGAGTAAAATGTATTATATGGTGCCACCTGATAACACAAAAAATGATTAAAAAAAATTTCAAATGATAAACCCAGTTGGGAAGAGTGAGGATCTTAGATAAAAATACACGTTCATTATCAAAAGCTAGCAACACCAAAAGCAGAAACATGAACAGAAAAAATAGACATTGACAAGCGACCAGAAGAACAAAGACCCATATTTGTAGTCATAAAACCGTTGGTGAATAAAACTATCATTAGGTTAATGAACATAAAAATAATTTTATATATTTCATCACTCAATCTTAATCATGAGAGTTAGCTTTCTTTACCTTCCCATACTTAATCAATCCCCACTATCACTTAAATAAAGGCAATCATCAATGATGTGCCCTGACCCAAAGACATAAAACCAAATGGGAAGCACTATCAAAAAGTTAGCAGTTGTTAGCTTAAAGGCTCGTGCACATGTCATATCCCTAGAAACCACATAAGTTCTATATACACAATTTTGAATTTTTAATATATTTAAAGAGACTTTATGGTGCAACTAATTTGATAAATGATTGGTCCAGCGTTTCAGAAATGTTGGCAACTTCTTTAGGCCAAATGCGCAATCAGATCCATTTGTCCCTTCACTAACCCCATTTCATTACAAAAACATTTACACAAAAATTGTTGATTTCAGCATATGATTAGTGGACGACAGCACAATGACATAACTTTGCTGACAAACACATAAATCATAAAACAGTTGAGGAACCCCCAGTTTAAAACCAGCGAGGCTCAAATATTAGCAACCACTCCCAACTGTTACTCGCCCCATATTTGACCATATACCCATCAGGGTTATTCAGCCTGGATGTATTTCAAATGGTTTTATATTATGAATATGTGGCATTTCCAGTAACCTTCCATTGATGTAAATAACACAATTTGAACACACTTTGGACATCGTTCGTGCCTAAACACTTATCCCATCTATTCCTAACATCTGATAAAACCAAGGCAAAACTATGAACATCAGGGTCCACCATAGCCAATAACTAAGCCCCTAAATCATAAAAAGAGCAAAATCCCACATCCATCACATACTCTAGAAACTACCAACAGGAAAAACGCGGTGAAAGCCCAAAAAAAAAAAAGCATAGAGTATTAACATGTAATTTAAAGAGTCATGTCACATCCAATATGGGCACAAACCTTTTTCTGATTTTCCATTCATTATAGGAAGCTAAACAAATAAAATGCTCTCATTATAATTTTCATTACCCAAATATGCAATATTACCACTTCTGCTAGGTTAAATCAATTAAACCAAAAAGGATATATCTCAAATCATTAATTTGGATATGTAGGGGCATTGTATTGGAGGCTAAAAACAATTAGTGTAATCAGAAACTAGACAGACAGCTACATTAGTGTCAACTGGCTAGCAAGTCCATAAATCTTGCGACAGGAAATGAGTAAGTTCACCTGCAGTTTATGGTTATCACCAACAATGAGAGGTTGCTGGTTCACTCCCAGAAAGAAAACACACTCACGGCAGTTAGCAATACAAATATGTTTTGCTGCCACAATTACATGAACTCGTTCACAGTGTTCAACTCTTACAGCCTGTCAGAGGAAAGAAAAGGACATTAACTTCCATCACATCAATCGAAGAAGCCACTAATTTAACATTCAACAAGCAGAGCATCAGTTATATACCCCCAAACTTAAGGCATAAAAGTGCACTAGGGAAAGGGCTAAAGAAGTATTCTAATAACAGTTATTATGTTTTAAAGCATCAGTTATTATGTCTTAAATCATAATAACAGTCAACTAAACAGCCAGCACTACACATACCGTATACTGCAGAAATGTTATTTAGGAAAAAAAGGAGCAGAAAGAAGGATGGGGAAGAGAAAGATAAAAATTCACGCAATGATAGCCATCTCATTCATTGACATTTTTACATTTTTTTAATAACAAGAAAATAGAAACTAGCAGGTGACTATTAAGTGATGCGAATAACAAAAACCACAGTTTATATGATATCAAACAGTATCATTTCTAGCAGGCTTGAAGGAGGGAAGAGGACTGTTTATGGGAAGGAAAAGAATGAAGGCTAACAGGCTTGAAAGAATCTAACTGTCAGGGAGGCCCAGAAATACAACACTTGAAAGTTAGAAAACTTTAAAATATAGATAACCATTTTAGCAATTAACTGCTATGCATATAGTCATGGCTTTCGCTGACCATCTTTCCTTTTCAAGATCAAGCATTTTTCAGTTGAAGCTAAATCCATGCTTCCGTTCTCTTGATCAAGATAAAGGAACGCTCCAAGGGCAATGGTTAAGAAGACACTTGATGCATTGATTGTGTAATTAAAGCATTGGTTTAAAAAAAATTTATATGATCATCTAATGCTTCCTTTTGCAATGATTTGTTATGTTCTCTGAAAATTGCATCTTCTGTTGTTGAAAATAAAGCCATATATTATTCCTCGATCATGCTTGTAGGGCATGAGTTAGCTAGGCGCCACAATGATAGTGGACAATAATAGTCACTAAAACCATTTTCGCTTCAATTCAAACATGCAGACACTTTTATAATTGCATGGATGTGGGCGCAAGGAGACGTAGTGAAGTTTCAGAACCCAAAAACTGATTCTGGAGTCATCACTTACCACCAAAACAAGCTTAATAAGGAGTAACTCAAACTAAAAGGGCAATCCTGCCAGTTGGGAAGACTTTGAAGATTTTGTTTGAACGTGGAGAACAGGTCTCAGGCTTTTCTGAATTGATGGCAAAAGGCAAGAAATCATTGATATTCTGAACAATGACAAACAATTCCAATTCAAGATGACAATGATGTGATGATTACAAGTTATGAGATCATCTCCAGCACCAGAAGGTACTAACATTTAAAACTTTGTGATACAAGAATGAAAGGATTGCAACTTTGCAAGCATTGGAGCAGATTTACAGAAGATCAGTAATAGTTAAAGCATATTGACTTCATCACACATCAATATTATCATCAACCAACACGTGGTGCATGAATTCATGGAAGAAAAAAAAAATTACAAATGCACATTGAAGTGATCCGCACTGCATAAGACAGTTTCTAATGTGAAAATGATTGTTATATTCCCCTTAACTACTAGAAGTTTAAAGTCCAATAACCTAAGAAATTTTCTTTTACTTGGACTTGAAGGAAACAGCAGATATCATCAGTATCATCTTTATATCTCAGCTTACCGTTCAGATGAAACAATGTTGTAAACAAATTTCATACACATTCTAGTTTATGCAGATCTACTGAGCGCCTTGTAAAAGCAGAACTGAGTTAGTAATTACCTTGCCAACTGCTCCTAGAACTATAGTAGCATCAGAACATCCATAGACAGTAGCATATCTCAGGGGTGCTAAGATGTAGATGGTAGACTCATGACAGTTTAGAACCTGCATCGATCAGACATAATGTTTTATTATAGCAAGCCAATGGCCAATATCCACAATTATCATTAGAGATGAAGTTCTGTAGCTAACATCTGTTGTTTGGTCAAACATAAATCTATAATGACATGTTTTGTAGAAAGAACACAGGTGTACGAAAACAGAAGAACAGGGCAGGTGCAAGAAACTAACCTTAACAGAGGAACCTTTGATGTCAGACGAAAGCTTCACATATGAAGATTTAGAGATCCCTTCAATGAAATATGGGCTTCTAGTGCTTGCCGGGACATTAACTGAGTTAGTGCATGCCTCCACCATAACAATGTCTTGATCAGACGCATTGCCTGGCCCATTTTCCTTTGAAGAAACCGGTTCAGAGATATGCTCCAAAGCAGAAGCTATGCTTTGAGCAAGCCAATCATGAACTTGCGCAGCAGGAACAGGAACAGCAGGCATGTTAGGATCAGAGTTCGCGAAGAAAGGAGATGCTTGACTCAATGAATTTCCATCAAATCCCTTATCACCAAACTGAATAAGAAAGCCAAGGTGCTCAAATCTATCCATAGTTAAGACCTGAAACAAGGTCAAGTAAATGAAATAGGGACAAAAGCCATGAAAATTTAAGGATTCAGTAGGAAGGAGGAAAACTAAATGGATCCCAGTGACAGCAACCATTTATGTGTAGCACTTGTCAGGCATCTATGTCAACACACTTCATTTGATGATGATTAACACACACTATCACTCGGCATATGATTTACCCACTAGACCCACACTGATTCAGAAAATCACACCCTTCAGACTCATTCTTAACAGTACGTCAGTGACAACTCCAGTATGAACCTTAAAGATAGAAGCTAAGCTGAATTCTCAGCATGATATCAGCTTTAATAAATGAAATATAATACGCATTAAGAACTATCTCGAAACATTTTCTTGCCATCAAGGGAACCATTGGAAAACTTTCAGTAAAGTTTTGAAAGCAGTGTAACTGCCTTGAAATTTACAAACGTGTCAAACAGTTCATGATCAAAACCAAAACAAACTATTTCATAATACCTTCACCCGTTTAATGGCACAATTGTTATTATAGATTGCTCACAAAAAATTTGACCAAGTTATACCACCAGCATGGGATTATTCGTACAGATAAAAAAGCCCATTAAACCCTTAAAATAAAACTAGAGAAGGAGGCGCACTAAAGAGTCAAGTTATTCTGATATTTACAAAGATTCAGGAATACTAGTAATAAGACATGCATAAAGCACCAGATATATGACAAGAACAACAAGACAACGGAATGAAAATGGTAACCAATTTATGCTTCGGTGACAGACAAAAACTGACATCATATAGCCACAGATAAAGTTTAAGTACAATAGACATGCACAAGAAGCATATAATCATGCTATCCAATGCCTGAAACTGAAGATCTTTCCATAATTTAGGATGGCGTGAAAAAACATATAAATCACCAGGACGTAGTCTAAAGAAGAAAAATCCATAATGTGAATGGTATTAGTTATATAGCACATAATCTCAATGGAAATCAGTAAACCATGAATAGCAAAGCACGCAGTAAATTCACAAACCAAAGATTCTTCGTCATCCCCCACCACAGGCTCTGATAGAAGAGATAGAATGTTAGCCATGTGCTTTTGCAAATATGATAATTGATGAGCCTCCTCATCAGCCTGTGATGGCATAAACCGCCGACTGTTGCTGCGCACTAGCTGCAAAATATTGAAAAATGAAGAACGTGATCTCAAGAATTACTTAAAAGCATTAGTGAAAAGCCTGATATGGTATAGAATATAACTATAACAAAGGAGACGGTAAAATAATGACAGCCAGAATATATTTTAATCGAAGGGTTCAACAGTGGCCAAAGCATAAAAATCCAAGATCATAGACAAGAGAAACACGGGTAATATTGAACATTTCAGACTAGTCCAGATACAAGTTTGACCAACACGGCAAGAGCTCAGGTCAAAATTTGGCATCAGTTTGAAAATGCCAAATTGATTATAAGAAAGAAAAGAACTAGCTGCAAAGCACAGAAGGTCATGCATCCCGACTCCCACAGTTATATTGCACAGTCTTTTTCATGCAAGCGCCAAAATGTACTTAAAGACTAAAAAGACAATTGGAACAATCAAATTTAGCCCCCAATCCAATTTAATTGACCATAAAAAAGTCAAATTTACTCCTAAGGCATAATTAAATATCTCAGCCAGGACTCTAACGTTCAGAGACAAGACTCGATTTGATTGTTTATGGATGATACGGGAAGTGATTAAGCCTAACCCCTCAACAACCGATACAATCATAAGGACTAATTGGCATTGCAAAAAGAATATTTTAAAAATCACTCTGTCTGTCCACAATTTAGTCCCTGTGATCTTCAATATCCACAAATTGTCTCACCGGCATTACATTTCAGTCATTTAAATAAAAGCCATTTCACCTGCAAGGGCGAGAGAGCAGAGAGATAACCATCAAAGGCCGAAGTGGAGGGCCAAACGTCAGCCACGGCGGCAGAGTCCTTGTGCGTCCTAGGCAGGAGCTTCTTGTAAGATTGAATGTACAAGAACAAAACCAGATCATAGACATCAGCACCAAAGGAGTCAATTTCTTCCGGCTTGGCCGTAGCTAGAGGTTCGGACTCGTAGTGTAGAACCGAGGCGAGAGTATCAAGAACGAGTCTTGCATGTTCAAGGGAGATCTGTAAAGCCTCGGAAATGGCCGCTGAATTGACCCTTTGATTAGAGGATAACTCAAGGAGCTTCTGCTTCAAGGGGATTAGGGTTTGCGTAGGATCGGAGAATATGAGCTTTGGCAGGGGTAAGAGGCCATGCTCGAAGGGCTCGCGCCTTGGACGAATGAGAGTGCTGGTGTCTCTGGATGCAGACGGCAATGAAGAAGATGTAGGCGACTGAATTGAGTCCGCCATGGCTAAAGAGAGAAAGGAGAGAGCAATGCGAATTGAGGGAACAGGAAAAAGTAGTGAGAATTGCAGATCCTCGAAAGATGAATAATGAGAAGGAAGAGAGAAGTGGCTGTGTTCGAATGAGATTGGCCGTATGAAATCGTAGAGGCGTGGCAACTTGTGATTTGCCGCCTCTGTGTGGAGACCAGTGCACTTCTATTTGAGTCCCACGTTTAGGGGACGATGAGCGGATGAGGTGTAGTAAACGGTGAGCTCATGAAAAATCCAAGTTTTCAAGGCATTGCACTATGAAAGGATGTCTCTTCAGCAGCCACGACATGAGAATTCTTTCTACCTTGAAAGTTGGAAGCTGGAACCTCGGTGCTTCAGCCCCCGAGTTGCTCAACCCCCCCCTCCCCGAGTTAACTAACTTCTATTCCCCCCCCCCCCCCCAAAAAAATGAAAATTTTCAATGTTCGCAATTCAATAGATTACATTAAATGGGAGATTTAAAAGATAAGTGCTCACTAAACATGCATATTTTACTTATGCATTATTGCGCGAAAGTTCGTTTCATTGTGCTTACCCTCTCGCTTGCTGTTGTTAGATGTTCAGACACAGTGCAGAATTTTTAGATCGCATTCTTCACCGCTAATACACCATAACTCATGGTCCATGTTTGGTTTGGTTCTCCACAGGTAATTTTTGATTCTGGTGTTGTTTTATCATCTAAGGGGTAAGGATGCCCTCTAGTCAGAGAGAAATTAGCCATCTCTAACACTGTCCTTCGCGGGTTATTAAGGTTACTTTGATAGGTCACGATGGCAATTGTCTCGAATTTTCAATAAATAAGGAAAATAACACTATGACCTTAAATTTTAGACTATTGTGCATTATTTTTCGGATACTCGATAATAAATCATCTACTGAATAATTCAAAGTCTAAGCCGAATCGACTTTAAATGCGAACACAGATATTTAACTTTTAAGACATTAGATTAGATTTATAAATTTGTAGCCTCTTCTCAAGCCTAATTTATTATTTACGGGCAAAAAAAAAAAAATTCTGCCACCTCAAACTTCACCCATTAAAAGTGCAGAGACTCATTACTGAGTAAGGAATAATTTATTAATTACGACGGCTTCCCTTTTGATGAATATATAACATGTCCCGACCAAATGGGCACAGTTCATAAGTTAGAAAGACAAGCATTTATGCGACTGGATTAGAGCAGGGGGATATGGATAGGAAGCAATGGAGCTAGGGAAAGAAGCAGAAATGGATGAAGTCGCAATCATAGTGCTGTGGATTCTCTCGTCAATCTGGATACGCAATAACTTGAAAGGGTTATGACAAATAAACTGTTTGTTAGTTCTACAAAGCTCGTAATGGAGCAGATATTCGGATATATTTTTCATTTGCTTTTGAATCTCAATGCAGAGATTGTACCATGCTCATAGGATTCCAACTGTGCAGCCTCAATAGAAACCAAGCGCATTGGAACGTTCATTTGTCTAATATATGCCGAGAAACATATTTTCTTCAGTCTTTGTTTGCCCTCTCTGTGCGCGCACAAAAGTCCTTCCCTTTAAAGCGCACACTCTATACTGGGCAATCTAAAACAATCATCACCTTCACATCAAAGCACGTATCTGAGATAAATAACCGTACTCGTTCTGCATTGTCAGAAGCTTCAATAAGAGGAGAGTACTTGATCTGAACGTTACTGATCTCTTGAATATAATCTTGTAGTGTAACAACCAATAAGTCCCCTTAACGGTGTTTTCCCGGTTTAATGGGGCGACCACTTTGTTTGTACGTGGTTATTCTTAATTTGAAGAAATAAACAGTCAAGAGCTGAACAGTAAATTCCAAAATCAGTCCACAATGAACCTTCAAAAGGTACGACTACTGAACCGCCATCTTCCCTGTAGAATGCGCTCCTCTCGCCGGGCGCAAGAGATGGGTTAAATACAAGAGTGAATGAAATTATATTAGTGACTAGCAATTGTTTATTTTATAATCAGTGGTCATTCAATATATAACAGCGACTTAAAACAAGGAAGGTGTGGCAATTTTATTGAACACAGACAATTGATACACGCTCGTGGTTGTGTCCATCACGACAATGGAGAGAGTGAGAGAAAAGAAGCGAGTTTAACCTGGCCTCTCTGATGGTTGTGATTAGCCACAAAACTAGTCACCTTTTCAATGGCGAGTTGATCATTTCCAGTCTGTGTTTCTTACATCAGCTTTTCTTCTCTCTCAATGTGTGTTAACTGATGGTTACATTACAACCCCGGAGTCACTCGTATACCGCCCGGGGGGGCTTTTAATATGTCTAATTGTGACTCGCAATTAGACATGTTAAAAAAGGAAAGTTGAGTAAAATTCATGCATGTGACACGCAAAAATACAGAACGAGTATGATCTGTCTTTTGTTAATACATATAAGTTCGAGTAGAGTAACGTTAAGCCTAAAATAATTACGACACACAAACACTGTAAATTTAAATTGTAGTTGCCATTAGAGAGTGAGGTCTCCACTGTGAAGCACAAGATCTGCACAACCACAAACTTAGCAACAAAAAATTATGAGAAATTAGGTGTGAAAAGTGAAAAGAGGGGTGAAAAGTGTGAGGTGGAATAAAACAGCGGGTTTTGAGGTGTGTTTAAGCATCCCATATCTTGGACTTAAACAAGAACAATAGAAATTACAGCACGCGTTGCAAAATAAGAAGGCCCAAAAAAGAGCGTGCATTGCAAAAAGGTAACCATGTGAAAACACTACTAAAATAGGAACAAGCGAATCTTCTCACAGCAAAAGCATGGGTTAGGTTACAAGTTTAATTAAAAGAATAAATTAAATAATCTGTATTTTGGTGGGTTTTAAATTTTTTGGAATGCTGAAGAAATCTAACCTGATAGGACGACAAAAAGGGAGATGACAAATAAGAAAAGGCTGGCTTTTTGGCATGGTAAAACAGCAGATGAAGACCAGTACATGTAGCAAGAAAAGCACGAGCAGGTTCTGGTTTTACATTATAAACTGTCAAAACTATAATTAAATTAAACATGCTCTTGATCTATGGTGGAATCCAGGGAGTCGCCTTTATTTATATTTCTTCAGTCTTGGCCATTTTTAACAAGCAAGCAATTGGATGAGAGAGACTAGAGTTAATTCAGACGACGATACGTGAAAATCGTAGACTCGTGAATTAAAAGGACTCACTCTCATTGTATCAGATTCCGTATCCTGCTCCAGTCCTGTGAGCACAGGCATGCACGCCTGTGTGTAGGAGCAATTGAGCTGGGACCGGGCTACCCAGCAACATGGCAATATTAGATTTTAGATCCCTCCATATAAGTGTACAGTGCATCCTCATATGAAAATGTTAGTAGGCATTACTACCTGTAGCCGCCAGGGAGGGTAGGGGTTCATTCTGGATTGTTTAGATCAACTTAAAATACTCAACAAACAAAAAAACTCATAGCCAAGCTCTTCGGATTTTTCCGGAGATATGAATATCTAAATTTCTTTTTCTGATAATTTCAATTCTATTTTAAAAAATTGAAATTTTCAAATTCTATCTTATTTTATTAATGATAAAAAATAATTAAAATATTTAAGTTAAGCTCGAGCTTAGTTTGAAAAAAATAAAAATGTCTAAATTCTCAAGGCCAATTTTAAAATTTTTGAACTTATTCTGGTTAGTCTTAACCACTTCTAACCTCACCTTAATAATGATAACTACAACTTTTAAAGATTTGAATTCACTTAATAGATAGCTCACTCATGCAATGAGAAGTGTCTCACATAGCATGATTATGTGCATTCAATTTAATTTAAGTACTGTTAGAAATTTTATTATATAATACCCAAAAATTATAAAATCTCAAATTTTTTGTAGAGGACCATGTGCATAAAGAGTGTTATTATCATGAGGATTGTTTTAAATTTTTGAAAAAAATATTAATATTTTTAAATTATTGTGATTAAATCTAATTATTGTGATTGAAATGCTCATTGAGTAAGTAGGCTCAAACCACTCATTAATTCAAGTCACTTTTCATAAACAATTTAGTCATTCCTTATACTATGCTTGGCAGGAGATAAAAGTTGACGAGAGAAAAGTGAAAGTTTAAAAACAAGAAAAAATAGCATTTTTTCATGCTTGGCTATAGAAAGAAAATGAAGGAAAGAGAAAAATAAAAAGATAACATGTAAAACCCATATATTTTTACTTTCACTTCACTTTTAATTTTGAATGTGAAGAGATTTTCACTTTTTATATTTATAATGTAATTACGTTTTTATCATGGACTTTTGTTAAATAAAAAATATATTTAATTTTTTAAATTAATTAGACAAATGTTAATTCTAAATTTTCAGTTAAGTTTCTTACATTTAGTTGTAATTTTAAAGTTTTTATATATTATATAGTTAATAATTTATAAATAAAATTATAAATTGAATAAATAATTTTTTGTCAATATTGGATAAAATAATTTATAATTATATTTTTATTCAATCAATCATACATGATAGGAATTATTATTGTTATTATATAATATGTTAAAATATTAAATTTTATTGTATATACATATTTTTATAAACAATAAAAAATATTATTCTTCATATACCCTTAAAACTTTTTTTTCTCTCTCACTTTACTCTTGTTCAATTAACACGATAGGAGAAAATTATCTCCTTATACTTTCTTTTTTTTGTTCACTTTCCCTCCTCTCGTTCTTTTTTTCTCCTTCCTACTTTGTGTTTCGCTGAGCCAAGCACAGGATCGGGGTGAAACTATATGCTTCGACGTCCCTGTTAAATCACAACGTACAGTAACATGGACGGGGTCATGGGGCCAGTCCAATGCTCCATTAAGCACCCAGTAACATCCATTTAAAGCCACGAATTTACTAGTTACTTTAATGTTTCTATTATTAGTATAAACTTTTCCGTCCTTACCGTCCGCTAGATGCACGTTTTGACGCTGCCAACAAACCCACCAATCCACATTCTTTTGATGACCCATACCGAAAGTATTCTTCTCCGGGCAACTTTTTCATCTCAATCCCTCATGTATGGCTCAAATTCATTATTAATTAATGATCTCTGTTACTACAATGATGCGCCAAAAAGCTTTACATACACTAATTACATTAATTAATTAATTTGTGCTTGCTTTCTCAAGGCTGCCCTTAATTAACAATCCGTGTCTCGTCCTTTGGGGACACGTGCCCTCCCTCCATCAGCCTTCTCACATTGCTTCATCGTTTTCATATCGGCTTTCTAAATTAGCAATCAGTGATTAAGTTAATCTCATGCATCAGATTGGGTTAGAATCAGCTTGAGCTTCCCTAGAATAC